AACACACAAGCTGTTGACAGCTTTTCCAAAATTCTTTGAACTTCCTTCATAGTGACATAATACTACTTCCTCTCTAACACTGATAACTCAATTCTGTGATGTACAACCCGATCCTCTACATCCTTCTAATACATCGAAACACCATTGGTTACACAACCCTTGGCTCACTCACTCAAGTGTGGAAAATCCCATTCCAAACAGACACGCAGTTGTGGACCTATGGCGAAAACACGAATCGCACTTACCACAACACCCAAACATATTTCATCAATAAATACTTGATTCCATGTCACTACCTCCTCGTCGTGTAGAGCACTAAAATAACTTCCAATGCTCCTAACTTTGCGTCATTCCGAATCACAGTTCTCCCGTTACTACAAAATTTAGAAACAACATTCTGCACTTAGAAGGCCATTCAAATCGTCTTCAACTTCTCGAAATGGTTGAAGGTTTACCCATACTAATCTTGTATCCTACATCTTACTCCCTTTAGTAATTACCAGAAGTCACCATCCACTCTTTATATGCTTAACCTCGGAGTCTGTTGCCGTAGCGCCAACACCAAACGCGAGTCTCAACCACTCAATTAATTTAACACCTTGACCATCCAATCACACCTATAACATGGGGTTCTCAATTCCGGACCAGTTCCTAAAATTGCGTCCTTCATAACCCCACTTAACATCCTGGCTCTATATCACTTATCTTGTCAGGATAACTTCCAGACAACCATAACTAGTCGGAAACTGCCAACCCCCACTTTCATTAGCACTCCAAATCTCATCAAAATTCAACATCTCAACACTGCCCTGCGTCGACTCCTCAGAACAATCCTTAAGCACTTGGCTTCACTCCAAACAATTCACTACACGCACCATCCAAGCTTGTAAGACACGTCTATCCCATCCGACACAATCCCAGCTACTATCAACAAGAGATTAAGGGTGATCAGTTCCTCAATTTGTCAATAGACAGCCGAAAATCATGATGGAGTATAAACCATCTTTACCAGATTATAATAGCGCTTAATCACACACCACGGGAAACACATCAATTTCCACCTTGCTCCCAACCGACAACGATGCAAACAAGTCAAACAACTGAGCTTCGTCCGCTAAAAATTCTTCAACTCTTTAGTGGATAGAAAACTCTCACTTCTATCATCTTCCAAAGAAGGAAACTTTACCAACTTGTGACAACAATCTAAATGAACTCTATTAGATTGCAACTGATTCATACCGAAGATCGCGCCCAAATCGTCCAATGGTAAACACACTAAATCCATAACGAAGTCCTTACCACACATGGTCGAAGGACGACTTATGCATATCAAATAAGTAGTTACCGACCCCGAAGCGGGCGTCTCAATAACCATATTATCATCACAAGTAAATATACACAAATCCAATCGCTTAGCGCACTCAAAAGAAATGAACGAATGAGTCGCTCCGGTATCAATAATAGCAACTAAAAGCATATTATTAATAAAGCATGTACCTTTGATCAAACGGTCCGTATTAGTAGCGTCGGAGCCTGCTAATGCAAATACCTTCCCACTCGTTGGAGCTTGCTTAGGTTTAGGACACTTAGCACTGATGTGTCCTACTTCTCCACAATTGCAGCACTTCACTACACCCATTCTACAATCCGTAGCATCATGTCCAAGAACTCCACAGCTAAAGCACTTAACTTTGGGCTTCCTACACATAAAAGACTTGTGACCCATCTCGCCACACTTGTAGCACATAATGGGACCCGAACATCCACCTCCGGACCTCTTAACAAAGTGTTCTCTATGCTTGCCTTTATCAGTAGGCATCACATAAGGCCCACTCCTTACCGGTTGCTTTTCTCTCTTCTCATTCAAACTTTTGTAATGAGCGGAACAAACCTTGCTATCTTCCTCGAAGATTCTACAACACTCCGTCAAATCCGAAAACCTTCTTATCCTCTGATATCCCATCGCTTGCCTAATCTCAGGACACAAGCCATTCTCCTACTTAATACACTTTGCGAACTCAGCCGTAGCCACATCATAGTGAGGATGAAATTGAACCAATTCCACAAACTTAGCAGTATAGTCCACCACAGACATACTACCTTGTTTCAGCTCAAGGAACTCCATCTCCTTCTTCCTGAACTCATCAGTTGCATTCACAATCGGCGCATCTCGCACCGTCCTAACCATTTCTTCCAAAGCAGCCGCCACCACATCGCCATTACGACCATCCATTCTAATCATTACCAAAAATATCAACAAGGTTAAACAACTGTTCAACCAACACAACGACAAGACAGACACAACTGACTCAACACTGGCTCTGATACCACTTAATGTAACACCCCCTTCCTATACCCCCAAATAATTGAATAAATCATTTAGGCACTCAATATAAATTTCATCAGAGTTTATTTTAAACATGGTATAAAAGAGGTGCATCACATTATCATGAAATTAAACGCATACAACACCTACTCAAGTAGATATGCAACAATGGGCAAGTCATAACAAAGAAATCTTAGTCCTAAAACCCACATCTCAACATTTAGAATAAAAGCGGAAACATCTAAACATTGAATCAATTCATTCATATAAACATATATACATCATTCAGTTAATTGATGCTTACAAATCATCCATAAGCAGATACATACACAGATGTATCACAAAAGAATCAAAACACTTGTATCTCCAAAAAGAGTCAAAGGCTTCCTAACTACCCAGATGTTACATATCAGAGCCAATGACCAAAAACAATGAAGACTCGCTTCACAAAAAGGACCTCCAGCAACCTACTCTGCAATGCCTCATAGAGCATTATAGAACAGCAGAAGGATGAGAAACAATATCATAACAGTCAATGCATAAAATTATATATTATACAAATTACACATACTTCACATTCTCACCACGATTCATTATATAAACTTCAATGCACATTTCGTAACTGGGCATATTCGCCAATCATACTTCTACACATACACATTATTTCCACATAACATTTACAATATAACACCAAGCATATCCAATATGCGTCAACCATGTTTATATTAATTCATAAACTCACAAAACATACATATACATACATTCACATATACATATATATCTTCAAGCATACCAATCATTCCAATCATCCACAATTCACATAAACATTTACACTTATGTTCATTCACCATACATCATGCAAGATGTCAACATGCAACTCATAGAGACCGACTCACGACTCTATGCAGATGCAAATGCGGTATCGACTCATTTCAACAGGTTCAATTGAAGAACCAAATGGAATCATCGCTCGTTACCGAAGTAACTCCCCGTCGGGCCTACGATGTTCACCCATCGCTCACACCCCACATGGGCACACGATGTTTCAGGATTGCTCACACCCCACACGGGCAAACAATCCGATTGCTCACACCCCACACGGGCACACAATCGTTCTATAGATTCACTATGGAATCAAGAAATAACCATCGCTCACACCCCATATGGGCACACGATGTTTCAAATGCGACATGACTCATGACACTCATGAAATGCACACATGTTTACAAACACACTCATGCATTCTTCACATTTATCGCATATATTCATTTATGCATTCAAAATATATGTATCACAAAACATATATATTCATCATTCATTCACACCATTCAAACATGGCTCACATTCACAATCAATTCCTCATGCATTTCTATTCAAACTAAGCAAATGCACAAAATTGCCAACCGGCCACACTTATGCTTCATAACCATAAACTAGGATTCACGCCATACGGCTACCTACAGCACATCACAAATCAGCACACAAGCTATTAAACCAAAGAAGGGTCGATCGCCACCAAAACCCCAAGCCACAACAGCACACAGCAGCAGGGAAAACCCATCTTGCTACGTTCGCTACACGCTTGCCTAGCAAGCTGCTAGCGAGCGTTCGCCACTTGCTCGCCTAGCGAACTGCTAGCGAGCACAACAGAAGCTCCAGACTTCGTTCTCTACCTCGTTCGCCACAGCGAACCTCCAGCGAGCTCCTCTCTACTCCCTTCGCTACAAGCGAAGGACATCAAAACCATTATGTCCCAAGTCTGGGACCGTTCGCTGCGCACTCGCCTAGCGAACTGCCAACGAACACTTGCGACCTACTCGCCTAGCGAGCTGCTAGCGAGCGTCTGCGATTTCCACTTCTCCCCACTGTTCAGAATCCAAAACCACCGATAAAATCATCCGATGAACTCCAACTCATATCCAGTAGCCTTAGTCTAACATATATCGACTAATCTACGTCATCTAATCACGATTCTAACCGTTAAACAATGATTTCTATCGATTAAACCAATTTCGACCTAAAATGGAAAGTGTAGAAAACTACCAATCAATCCAAAACAATCCAACAAAAATCATACATTATTATACACATTGATATAATAATAAGGTTTCATACCCTTACCCGATTGATTGAAGCTTGGAAGTTGTTTCTTGATGAATTTCTAGGTTTTTCTCCATTTCTCCTCTTTCTCTTCTCTTTTCTTCTTTCCTTCCTTTTTCTTTCTATCTCATTTCTTTTCTCTCTAATTCTCACTTATACCTCTTTCTATTCTATTCTATTTCTCCTCAAAATACCTCTTAAAATATTTTCTCACAAAATACCCCACTTAATATAAAATACTAAATGTCTAAAATACCCTTTAATCTATTTTCCCCGAAAACTCTCCGAATCGGTAAAATAGCACAAAAAGCAATTAAACGTATCGACACATAAATTCCATAATTAAAATAACATTCATTCAAATAAATCAAAAAGGACTCAAACAAATTGGGAAATTCAGAATCGGGGCGTTACACCAGGCCAGAACAAATTCAATGAACCGGGAAGAAGTAATTAATGACAGAGAAGTTCCTGTGAATGGAAAAAAAGTCGAGGTGAGCTTGTGATTAAAAGTGGAAAAAATATTAAAAATGAAATAGGGAAAGATGGAAAATACCGTGATTCTCAGCATGAAATGCACATATGGAATCCAAGAGAAATGAGAAATGAAACGAGGAACATGTTTGCTAGCCTTCATGCTTTGCTTCCAGATCTGCCTTCTAAGGTAAATTCATATTCATCTTCATTTATTATTAGGGTAAAATTTAGTGTCACAATAAGTTATTTTCTAAATTAGATGTTTAATTTGATATTTTTTTCCAGGTTGATAAGTTAACCATTGTGGATGCAACAACGAAGGAAATAAAAAATTTACAGCTGATTCTTGAAAATCTAGAAATAAATAAGCAAGAAAAGCTTAAATCTATGTTCCCATTTGTGAGCGATTCATCATCTGTGACAAACTCACCATTGATTTCATATGAATCAAGAAAAACTAGCATAGTTGATCAAGGATCCTCTAATTATAATAATAAATTTTTTAATGGTGCAATTAAAACTTCAAATGCAGTATCGTTATATGCACCTCCACCGCAACAAGTAGTTTTTCAAACATGGTCTTCTAAAAATGTTGTGTTGAACATTTGTGGGGGCAAAGCACAATTTTGCATATGTGCAAGTAAGAAGTCGAGTCTTTTGACAACAATTGCTTTTACGTTGGAGAAACATATGATTGATGTTATATCTATCAACATTACGCGTAATGGAAATGAAAATTTGTACATGATTCTAGTTCATGTAAGTTTCAAACTCGATATATCCCCTCTTTATAGTTTATATTGGATATCTCTATAAAATTTTCAAATTTATCCGTAGAGTGATGCCAAACATCCATATACAATAATACATTATCAAACAAATAAAATAATTATTAATTAAACAAAAAAAATTGAGTTGTGTTATTTTGCAGGCAAGCCAAGGTTTATACAACAGAAATTCAATGGAAAAAACTTGCAAGCGAGCGGTTAGAGAAATTTTGACGTGGATATCTTAAATTTTTAATTATAAAATTTGTCTTCTCATTTTGTATGAATTTTAATTTCATTTAGTTTTTCTTCTAAAACCAACTTAAAAAGGTGCAGAGTTAGAGGATGATGTAATGAACAAACAAGTATAATACTTCAATTTTTATTGAATTATAGTGATTTCTATTTTGTTATGAGCATGAAATGGGGTGTTTAAATTAGTTGATATATACTTTTCGTATTTTCTTTTTCAAAGTAATAAACATTAGTCATACAATAATAATAACAACTAAACTTTATCCCTCTAAAAAATATGTTCAGTCTTAGGTCAAGGCAACCAAACCCACAACTCAGAGCCTAAAAATTATGCTTTAATTTTTCATCAATGGTGAGTGTTTGATACTTGGTTCAAGAATGAGTTATATAATTTTAGCTTCTTTTTTTTTTTTATAATAAAAAACAGTCAAAAGTACAAAAACATAATATTGAGTAATAGAAAATTGAACTCGTGCCTTATGATCAATGACAAGACCACCATTCCATTCAGCTACGAAAGTTTAATTGAAACTTTTTGGAATCGAAATTGTAGTAATATATTTATATTTTAAAGCAGAGTATTATTCCTGCAATATCATTCTTTTCCATCTACTTCTTAACACCTAACAATTCATAAAACAGTCTTGTCATATTCTAAAATTAATTATTCTATCTCTTTTATAATCTTTTTAATATTATATATTTTCTTTTTTAAATATAAATTTTTGGTATATTAATATTTTATAGTTCAATATTTAAATATTTATTATATATTTATTTTATTTATTATTAAATTTTTGTGATAAAATACAACACATTCTTATATGTGGTTTGATCTATTATTATTTTTACATAGGAATATATATTGTTTTATTATATTCTATAATAATATTAAAATAATAGAAAATTTAATATTATTTTTAATTAATTTTTATAATTAATTGGATTATAAGTTAAATTAATGAGTTTAAAATATTTTAAAATAATTTTATTTAGGTTAGTCTAGCTTTGTGAAATATTTATAAAGTTTTATAATTTGTATAATTAATTCGACTTTCTTCACGATATTATATCAATTTTAGTAAAATGTTGAGGTTTTTATCTTAATGTCTCAAAATCATGAGGGTCTCATAATTTTAAGAATATATGTTAAAATTTTGAATATTTATATTTTTGGTCAAATGGTAAAAATTGCTCTAGTGATTTGTGAGATTTGACAAAGACAAATGGTTGTAATGTATTCTCATATTTTACAACTTTAACTTTTAGTTGTTTATTAATTAAAATACTTTAATTTTAATATTGCAATTAACAAGTAAATGTTTGCATAGTCGATTGCAATTATGTTGTCTAGTCTTCCTTACGGAATATTGAAATATATATAGATATGTTTTAAAATATTTTTTAATATTATTTACACTTTAAATAAAATATATATATATATATATTTTAAATTCTTTCCGTTTTATTCATTAGGGATCAATTTTTAAAGTTGAAATAAGACATCCAAATTATATCAGACGACCATGTCTTGTAAAATTTAAATAATATTTATTTTTATAATTAAATATTTAAAAAATCATGATATAATAAAAATTTAAAATTAATTACTTAGTTTTTTATTAAGATCTAATTTTATTATTAGCCCTAGGCCTCTAGAAAGTTAGAATCGGTCCTGCTAAGAAGGATTTTGCTACATGGATCAAGTTTTATCAGAATATTCTATCCAAGACTATGATTCTATATAAATTGTAAATCTCAAGATCTTTCTTAAAAACTTCTCCACTACTAGAAAACTTCATTTTATCTGCGAATTTAGCCTCGGCCACCGACACCGAGACTAACTAGCCTCGACAAAATCGAGGCTACTCAAACGCAAAAAAAGTCATTTTAAAGTTTTTCTTTTACAATTATTTTTATTTAATTCATTAGACACGGCTAGGCCGAGACTATATTTTTTAATTTTTGATTTATTCTTTTTAAATATTAGACACGGTCTATCCGAGACTAACTATTTTAAGCTACGAACTTAGCCTCGGTCACAGACACCGAGGCTAACTAGCCTTGACGTTATCAAGGCTACTTAAACGCAAAAAACCTCATTTTAAAGTTTTTCTATTTTTTTAAATATTAGACACGGATGAGCCGAGGCTAACGTTTTTAATATTTTTCGAATATATTTATTTTATCTGATAGACACGGTTCAACTGAGGCTAACGTTTTTTAATTTTTTATTTTATCTGATAGACACGGATGAGTCAAGGCTAAATATTTCTCACTTGTTTTTCATGTTTCCCTCTTAATTCCTTTCAGAGAACCCTAAAATTAAACCAAATACAGAAGAAGAAAAAAACCTTGATTACTAACAAAAATTTCAACATTTTCAGAAGAAAAAAACCTTGATATCAGATGTTCATATTTAAAATTCAACATTTCAACACACCCCCTCGCGAAACTAACAAAAATTTCATGATAAAACCTTGATTACTCCCGTTTGAATTTGAAAACTGGGTGGGTATTTTTCACAAACACTTGGCACCCATTCGCAATCGCAGAAGCAGAAACTGGTAGTTCAACACAAACATGGCCCTTCCCAAAGTTCTCATGGTATCAACTCTCCAATTTCGATGTACGTTGTTTTCTTAACCTTGTTCCCAACTACTTTTTGTGCTTTTCATTTTAGGTCGCAGAGAAACCTAGCATCGCTCTCTCCATCGCCACTGCTCTTTCCCACGGCCAGGTACTCTCCTATTTTCTCCTTAGCATTTTGCTAGGAACCATTTAATTTGATTTAATTTGATTTATTTAAATGTTTCAACTTCATTCTAATGGTATTGTTTGTGATTAAACAAAATATGTGTTGTGTTAGGTTTTAGAGATGTTGTCTACTGATGTTGTGCTTATAAGAAAATCGCTAATATACAAAGCTTGTTTAGCTAGCTCACAAAATGGCTGAGATTGAGTTTGAAAGTCTATTCAATCATGCCATGAGAGGCCAATGGAGAGAAGTTCTAGAGTTATATGAGAAAAACCCTGAAGTACTAGAAGCAAAGATCACAAAAGCAGAACACACAGTGTTACACATTGTTGTATATGTAAGCCAAACCTTCTTTGTGACAACCTTGTTAGATAACATAGGCCAAAACATGTGTAGGAACATCCTAAGAATGCAAAACTCAAAGGGAAACACTCCCCTTCATGTTGCAGCTGAGCTTGGGAATGTGGACATTTGCAAGAACATTGCCAAAAGAGATCCTACCCTCATTTTGTACCAGAATTCCGAAGGCGAAACTCCTCTTTTCTTGGCTGCTGTTCACGGAAGAAAAGATGCTTTCCTATGCCTTCACGATTGACATCAGAACAAAGATGATGACTCGATCTCAAGAAAAAACAATGGAGATACCATTCTTCATTCTACCATATTGATCGGTGGATTTCAGTTGTGTTTTCAAACGCTGTTTGTGGTTAATTTCGCAATGTTTTTATCTAGTTTTCGAAGCTTTAGTTGTTATTATCTACATTACTCGTAGTTGCGTGTCTTCGAGTCTTATTTTTAAGTTTATGTTGCTTTTGCCGCTGGTGCGTTTGATTTGGTTTCTTTTAGTGTGTTTTTGGCAGGAATGGATAGCACGAAAATCGCACCGCATTCGGAGGAAAAGAAAAGGCGAAAAAGGGAACTCAGAGCTGCAACATGGGTACCCGTGTTGCACAACACGACCCGTGTCATGAAGGACACGGCTGGCAGACACGGGTGGACCAAAGCAGATGGAAAAAGAAGACTCAGACTTGCAACACGGGTGCCCGTGTCATGCAACACGGCCCGTGTTGCAGCCCTTGGAGAGGAACACGCCCCAAAAGAAGCCAGCAGCCTGACACGGCCACCCGTGTCATGTAACACGGCTCGTGTCAGGGCCACTGAACGTGAAATTTCTCTGTTTTCTGTTTTTTTGCTGTCAGACCTATTTCGAAGGGCATTTGAGATATTTCGCTATGTAATTTGAATTTAGATATACGAGGCACATTTTAGAAAGTAAAAAAACACTTTTTGAACAGAGATTAGGATTGACAACTGAGAGGAGAGTTCGGCTGGAAACAGAGGATCGATCAAAAGCGGAAGCAATTGATGATCCAAGGAGTTCAACGTGCATTGTAATGATCTTCTCCTTTTTAATTCTAATTACTTTTATGTTTACAAAGAACATGAGTAGCTAAACCCCAAGTTGTTAGGGGGTGGTACTTAATGCGATGTAATGACGTTTGTTTAATTATTCTATGAGAACTATGTTTTTACCTTAATATATTTGATTTTGCATTAATCCTATTCGTATTCATATTGGAAAGTAAAATTCGAATGGTGCTTAGGCGTTAGTCTGGAAAGTCAACCTAACACTTTTGCAAAATAGTATCACGGTCGATATTGCTTAGGAATGAGGATATCCCGTATCACGTATTTTATGGTCGGAACTATTGCTTGATGTTTTTCAGGGACACTGAGAAATTAGTGAACAGGAAAATCATCAAAGGGTTTCCATTAAGGAATTAAGGCAACTAAAGTGGCCAACTGATAAATTAAGGTCAATAACTAGTATAGTAGAATAATCATACAGGGTCTTTACTCGTATAGTCTCCACTCCCCTAACACTGTTCTTAGATTGATTAATTAAGTCCGTATTTACTTGTGATATTACTCTGCTACCAAACAACCCACTAGACCTTTTGTTCAATTGAATCCTAAAAATTCCGTTAATTACTACGCAGTCCTCGAGATCGATACTTGGGACTTCTCCTTTATTACTATAATTGGTAAAAATAGTACATTTGCTATTTTCCCGATCAAGTTTTTGGCGCCGTTGCCGGGGACTGCCAAATTAACATTGTTTTTAGAATCCAAAAGAAATTTTGTTGCACTGCGACTAAAATTTTATTGTTTACTGCATAACTTTTATCCGCTTATTATCTAACGCTTGTCTAATTGTGTATGCGAGGTCAGGCCTCAGCTAAATATTCTTTTGATACAGAACCAGAACGAGCATTACACGAAAGACGGAGATTAGCTAAAGTTAAAAGACTGGAAGAAATAGAGGAAATTATATCTGTGCAGAGCGACTCCGAAGAGAGAGAGAGACAACACCTGAAACTGCTCAAATGGCTGGAAATCCACCTCAGCCTGAAAGACTGCTAGGAGACTATGGAGGGGCCAATGCTCAACCAAACCGGATGACCATTGTGAATCAACCGGTGAATGCTGCACATTTTTAGCTACACCCTTCCACCATCCGTCAGTTGGAGAGCAAGCCGTTCGCCGGAAGAATCAACGAAGATGCAAATAAACATCTTCAGAGATTCCTCACAACCACCACCTCGCTGAAAATAGAAGAACATTCCGAAGAGGCCAAGAGATTAGTTATGTTCCCGTTCACACTCACTGATGATGCGGAAGAATGGTTTTACTCGCTTCCCGCTGGGAGTATCACAACATGGCAAGAGATGGAAACTGCGTTCCTAAATGAGTATTTCCCTGCCTCAGTGTTCATCCGAAAAAGATACGACATTGTCAACTTCAAACAAAAAGAAGGAGAATCTTTAGGGGATGCATATAAGCGGTTTAAGAGGTGTCTTACAGCATGTCCTACTCATAACCTGGACGCCACGGAGCAAATGCAAAACTTTGTGAATGGATTACGACTCAAAACGAAACAGCTCATAGATACTGCTGTCGGTGGCTCAACCAACTTCTCAACAGCCACAGGTATCAGAAGGATCATAGAAGCAATCGCCACGAACGAGCACCTTGAGTTGTATGATCGCACGGTAAACCAACCGGAAGGCAAGATTGATCTGAAGTTGGCATACCAGGTTGTTAAAATGGAGGATCAGATCACCGCTGAGGTAGAGAGAAGGTTAAAGAAAATGAATGTTGAAACTCAGGTAGTGGCACAGGTTGAGCCAGTTCAAGCAGCACCTTGTGAAATATGCGGTGGGCCATACTTTAAAATGCATTGTGTAGCAACTCAAGAGCAAGTGGAACAGATTAATATGTTGAGGCAGAACAATCCTTACGCCAACACATATAATCCTGGTTGGAAGAATCACCCAAACTTTTCATGGAAAGATCAACAAGGTAATGTGCAAAAACCTGTTCAAGGCCAACAACCGTATCAACCTCAGCCACAACAGTACCAGCAGACACCGTACCAACCTCAATATCAACCACAAGCGCCTCGAAAAGCTGATTGGGAAGTGGCCATTGAGAAAATGGCCGCCCAAAGTTCTCAATTTCAAGAAGAGACAAGGAGTAACTTCAGGAATGCTGGAGCATCCATAAAGAATCTTGAAGTACAAATGAGTCAAATTGCCCAACAGCTAGCAAGTTCACAAGCGTCGGGTACACTTCCAAGTGCCACAGTACCAAACCCAAAGGATCACCACCAAATTAAGGCAGTAGTAACAAGAAGTGGAAAAGCCAAGGAAGTAGGAGAAGAGGAAACATAACTGAATGATCAGATGATTGAAGTGGAGCTGGAAATTAAAGAGAATGAAATAGTCGAGGAAGAAGTGGTGACACCGGTACCGGTAACTAAAGAAAAAGTGGTAGAACCGAAACCGGTGATCAAGCTGCCATACCCCTCAAGAAATAAGAAGAAAGGACATCAAGAGAAGAATTTCGAGAAGTTCCTGGAGCTGTTTAAAAAGTTGGAGCTGAACATTCCGTTGTTGGAGGCACTAGAACAAATGCCCACCTATGCAAAATTCATGAAGGACATCATTGCTAAGAAGCGGACGAGTGAGTCCGAACCTGTTATTCTAACGGAAACTTGTAGTGCTATTTTGCAGGGTCTGAAGATTCCGGTCAAGAAGAAAGACAGTGGAGCTGTTACTATCCCATGCACTATTGGCGATAGGTCATTCAACAGAGCTTTAATTGATTTGGGAGCAAGTATTAGCCTCATGCCCTTATCTATCTACAAAAAAATGGATATCGGTGCGGTTCAAGACACTCGGATGACCCTCCAGTTTGCTGATCACTCAGTTAAGCGGCCATATGGAGTGGTTCAAGATGTACTAGTTAAGGTAGATAAATTTGTGTTTCCGGTTGATTTTGTGATCCTAGAGATGCCGGAAGATGAAGAAATGTCGTTAATTTTGGGCCGACCATTCTTGGAAACCGGGAGAGTCATGATAGATATGGAAGGCGGCACCCTGACCTTGAAAGTATATGACGAGGAGTTAAAAATTGATGTTAGTAATACCATGAAGCATAAACAGAATCGTGGCACCAGTAGCAACATCCAAGTGCTAGAACAGGTCGTAGAGAGCGAACATTTGGAGAGTGTGACCCAACTACCCCTGGAGAGAGTGCTAAGCATGTCAATCTTTAAGGAAGACAAAGAAGTAGATGAGGATGACAGAGAGGTAGTCGAAATGTTGGACACTCGACCATTCCAAAGGGGATCCCGACCACACCGATGGGAGGACTTACGGCAACCTATAGCGCTGGAGGGTAATGACGAAAAGCCTAAAGGTTCAGAATTGAAACAACTGCCGGAAAATCTCAAATATGTGTTTCTAGACACCGAGGAAAAGTGTCCCGCCATTATCAGCTCTAGTCTAAAAAGTGTTCAAGAGAAACAACTGATTGGGGTTCTTAAAAAATTTAAGAGTGCTATTGGTTGGAAAATCGAAGACTTAAAGGGTATAAGTCCTATAGTTTGCATGCACAAAATCCTTATGGAGAAGGACCATAAACCGGTTGTGCAGCCCCAGCAAAGACTGAACCCCGTTATGAAGGAGGTCGTAAGAAAGGAAGTGGTGAAATTATTGGATGCTGGACTTATCTATCCTATATCAGACAGTTCATGGGTGAGCCCTGTTCACGTGGTGCCTAAGAAAGGAGGTACAACCGTGGTGACTAATGACAAGAATGAGTTGATTCCTACGCGTACTGTCACTGGTTGGAGGGTATGCATTGATTATAGGAGACTTAATTTAGCCACCAGAAAAGATCACTTTCCGTTGCCCTTTATTGATCAGATGTTAGAAAGATTGGCTGGTCACGATTACTATTGCTTTCTAGATGGATACTCCGGATACAACCAAATCGCGGTTGCGCCAGAGGATCAAGAGAAGACAGCTTTCACATGCCCGTACGGAGTTTTTGCTTATAGGAGGATGCCATTCGGGTTATGTAATGCTCCAGCCACATTTCAAAGATGCATGACTTCCATTTTTGCCGATATGCTCGAGAAACATATGGAAGTCTTCATGGATGATTTTTCGGTTTTCGGGTCATCATTTGATGACTGTTTAACTAACCTGTCACTTGTTTTGCAGAGATGTCAGGAAAGTAACTTGA